TTTTTTTTTTTTTTTTTTTTTTTTTTTTTTTTTTTTTTTTTTTTTTTTTAATTGGTAAAGAATTTCGATGTGACCCTGAGGCAAAAGTTGCTCAGTTTATTTTTCTGCATAATGTAGTGTTTTGCCGATTTCTTTTTTTTTTTTGTGCCGGGACCTTTGGCCCTTGCACGGCCAGGCCGCCCGGGCAAACAAGGTGACCGTGGCGGCCCGACTGGTAGCCTAGGTTGTTGTTCAATTTTTTAGAAAATATGTAAAAAGAAAAACTATTAAAAAGACTCTAAACAGTAATTTAACCGCAGAGTGATGATGCGGAGAGAAAACGTAGCCCTATGGCTTGCCTTTCTCCTATTCTGAGAAAGGTCAAACCGATTTCTCTCTCTCTCTCTCTCTCTCTCTCTCTCTCTCTCTCTCTCTCTCTCTCTCTCTCTCTCTCTCTCTCTCTGTGTATCTCTGTGGATGTGGAGAGAAAACGTAGCCTTGTGGCTTGCCTTCCTCCTATTCTGATAAAGGTCAACCCAATTCCTCCGCCACCCTCCACCCTCCCCGCCCTCCGACAATTCAGTAAACGTAGAGTGTTGTCCAAAACGATTTCAAAAGCTGAGAAGGGCAAAGGGACCAGACACCAGTTGTGGCTGTGACCCTTGCCTCAGGCAGGAGGATTCGTTCGAAGCTCAAATCTGAAGTGTGCTGGTGCAGAAAGATAGTCCAATTTTATTTCAGCTCGCTTGTAGACTGTTGTTTAGTTTTACCTATTCCATTGTTACTTTTACGAGTTTTTTTTTTTTTTGAAAGCTGTCTTCTCGTCGTCCAAGGTTTCGGCTCATGGTCTAGTAGGATTGGATCCATTTGTGGGATCCTTGCAGAAGGTTCGAAATGAGGACTGCTCGAAACTGGGACTGGATCTGGCTTACTCGGATCGACAGTAATTCGTCTTTCCGCGACAAGATCCCCGGGCAGGTGATACTTTCGAAAATGGCCTATTTGAAAAAAGGTTTCCCGGTCGAGTTTTTTGTCAAAGTCCTCGATAACTTTGCTGCAAAGAGGGGTCCGATTTGGGACCTGACCGCGAGACTGATACAATGCGTTGCAGTCTGACCTGGGTCGGTGGTGGTAGGCTATAGTCTCCGCAGTTTTTGATGTCTACAATACTATAAGAATCGCTATTTCTTATCGTACGGCCTGAATCGCAGGCCGGTACCGTTACCGGCGACGGCCCAGATCGGCCTGCGATCAGAAAGTTTTCTGATCGGCCTGCGATCTGGGCCGTCGCCGGTAACGCTTCGCGGACGGCCCAGATCGCGGCCCGGCGAGAGCCCACCCCTCGAATCGTGTCCGTTCGGTTGCCGGCCCGCCCCTCCAATCGCCCGCCCCTCCAATCGCCCGATCGCCCACCCGGAATGTTGTTGCCGCCCACGACACTTTCGTCCGCCTTTCTCACCGTGTGCCTTTGTGCTCCGTGCTCCGTGCTCCGTGCTTTCGCATCGTGGATCCGTGCGTGGTCGGTGCTCATCGTGCTCCGTGCGTGGTCGGTGCTCATCGTGCTCCGTGCGTGGTCGGTGCTCGGTGCTCATCCGTGCGTGGTCGGTGGTCGGTGCTCATCCGTGCGTGGTCGGTGCGCGGTGCTCATCCGTGCGTGGTCGGTGGTCGGTGCTCATCCGTGCGTGGTCGGTGCTCGGCGCTCATCCGTGCGTGGTCGGTGCTC